TCTGCTGTCAACCGGGTCTGGTTTATATTTGATCGAGATTGCTTGTCGGTAGAACGTCTGTCCAGGGCCCCGGCAGGGTCACTCGCCTTTAATCCTTCCAAGGTAAATAAATGAGTAACAAACACTTGGTGAAAAGAACCACAAGACTATACGATATTACTGTCATCGAGCTGCAGATACAGCCTTAAAAAATTCCTCTGACGCTCTTTGCGGATGACAGCGAGACAGAGATTAGCGTTGCGCCATAAGCGTTATGGAAACAAGGCTGTATCGCACAAAAGTGTAAGGGATATTAAACGCGTTAGGCCGACTAAACAGAAGGCAAGCGCTGTAACAAAAACATAGCAAAAAATTATTTTGGTGCAGGGGACACCAATCATCGAATAAAACGATTATATGAACTAATTAACATTTGTCATCTGTCTGACGGATGATCGATACAAACGGATGACACGATCCTACACGGTTAATGTGCATATTTTACGTTTCTTCAATTTACACTACACTCGTTTGTAATTTAACGTACGGCATTTATCGATTAACGTTCCTATGTTAAGCGCGATAATATAATTTGATGCTCAGGCACATTTGAGCGTGGGTTCAGCGACGATCGCCGTTAAAAGCGTCCAGTCAGTAAATTTCCGTGCCGTCAAAAATTCAGCGTCGATTAGTAAAAACTGTCACGGCTCGTTTTTGTGTGTCAGGCTGAACGAAGGAAGTGCAACTGCACCGGGCAGGCGGCTGGCAGACCGCCGACCGACCGACCGACAGACCGATGGTCGACGTGTCCTTGCGAAACGAAGGTTCCGGTGAAGCCGACAGTGAAGTACACTTCAGCAATACGTTAATAGCCGCCCTTCGGGACCAGCTGTGTAACTTAGCCAGTTTTGAGGATTGACGACCGAGCGATGAGTGCCTCTTCTTGTCGTGACCGCTTGACGACGATTTGCCGTCGTCAACATCGAACTCGAATTCGATCGACTCACTGCCAGTACAATTGTTTATAAATTATAAGGTGTCGGCTGCCGCCACCGACCCTTAAACGTTTAACGGTTAAAAAAAGGAAAGCAGGTTAAACTCATCAAAACCACTGGCGCTGGCGTTGATCTTCGCCAAGGTAAGAAGAGGAGATGTGACGAGCGCAAACGATCGGCAACAGAAACGCACCGCCTCGCCGAAAGCACTGCACGCAGCAACCGTAATCTCGGGGCTTGTGTGTAAACAGCGGTAGGTCAGTAAACAACCGTTCACCTCGCCAACTACTACAACAGACCGATCCAATCACGAGTATTGAAAAAAAAGGCTATGGCGAACAATTCATAAATGTTTATTTTTGGGAGGGAGAGATGGAGACCGTGAGTAGAAACAGACGGTTGACAGTTATGACACGTAAATAAACAATACTGACATTAATGGCTTACCTCCGCCTTGCTGAGGTACGATTCCATCTCTTGGTAAGAACTGGGCATTTGTTCGTGGACACTCATGGCCGTTGCGTCACCGTGGAGACGAAGAAAATTTTCTAAAGAGAAACAACGTGAGGGTGGCAGAAAGAAGAAGAGACAAACGACAGGCGGCGATTGCGACTGCGACGATGACGATTACAATGGGACGCAGCTGTACGAGAGGCGAGCGCCATCTAACGGCTGCCAGTCATACAACTCGTCCCGTACTATAATCGGAAACGTCCCCTTGCAGCAAACGTATTGAATTACTCGAAAAGGTGGAACAACTTTTGGTCCCTCCACCACCATAGGTTACAAGAAGAAGAAGAAGCAGGCCATGAACAAAAAAGGCCCTTGTCTGTGTGTTCATGAAGGTTGTCATTTTCATCGGAGGAAAAGAGGCATCAGCTGATGATGATGACATGCGACGCCATCTGTACCATCAAAATATAACCGTCTATCTTGAAATTATTAGACAAAATTGCTCGTGCATACACAAGA